AGGCTGAAAGGGCAAATTTTCAGGGTGAGAGGAGGTGTTGTTTGGGCTCCTGGGAACCTGTCTCCCAGTCACACACTCACATGGCGTTAGCAGGAGATTGAGGGGAGAAACAGGCACACTGGAGCTTTTGTTGCCCTGGCGATCCCTCACTGCCACCATGGGAACTGCCACCATTGGTGGCGCCCTCCTTTCCATCCTCCTCTAACCGCTTTCTGCTCTGGTGCTTTTCCCTCTGATTAGGAGTGGAAACATTTTTGGGCACCATGTAGCACAATTGGAGAAGTGGGAGTTGAAGGGGAGAAAGAGAATATTTTCCACTGTATTTGCCCACAGTTAATGTTATTTCTCAGGCTGAGAACTTGGTAGGCTTGTTCCTGTGTGGGCATTTAACACTGGTTGACCAAGTTTGGCCCAGAGGTCAAAGGTTGTCTGCCCCCCGCAGGGATAAATCAAAACCACACAAAGCATATTGTGGCCTTGTCCTTTAACCTCCTCCTCCTCCTGTGGCCACTTTACTCTTTCCATTTCTTTTTATTTAGTAGAATTTTAATGAAGCCCAGTTAGAATTCTGTCTTATATTTTTGTTTACAGGTTAAAATATTATAGTTACACACAGTAACATGTAGCAAAAACCTCAGTGTCTTCAAGTTTTTCTCCAGCACACAGTGCTGAGTGTCTTACTTTTCTGCAACAGAGTACAGATAAATGTTTCTTAAATTTAGATTAATAAACAAATAATAAATTCATATGCCCGCAAGAATTCAATGTCTTTAATATCTTTTTTGACTATTCTAATCTGGTTCAGCTTTATCAGATTGATTCATTGCAGATGATTCAGATGTTTTTGTTGTTAATCTTGACTGACGTGAATGATGAATATCTATTCTTAACCATCAATTAACTGTGTACATCCCTTGTCCTTTTGAAAGCTTGCATAATGATATGTAGAGACACTAAAATGCTGATAATTCTGTGTCACTTTTTTCCAGCTATCTGGGACTCTAACCATCCCATGGTGGCAGTGGTTCCTCACCAAGTTTGGGAAGAAGATGGCAGTGTACTTTGGCATGACTGTAAGATAAAGAAAAATGCTTGTTTTTGTTGTTAATTCAAAGAGGATGTGTTATGGAATTGTTCACATTCTTCTGTCTCTCTATAGTGGGCGATACCCTTCATGATCCTAATCGTTTGCATCAAGAGCCACCTGATCATTTCATACTTGGTCTCAGTGGCGGCAGGCGTGAGCGTGGCGGCAGCTTTCCTCCTGCCTTGGTGAGTTCATCCACTGAACACATCCATGGATCCATATGCTGATGTAGATGTTGATTGTGTCTCGAGTTTCCTTCTAAGTGTGTGTGTTTGTGCTTTCAGGTCAATGCTTCCCGACGTAGTGGACGACTTCAAGGTTAGGAACCCAGACATCCATGGTCACGAAGCCCTCTTCTACTCCTTCTATGTGTTCTTCATCAAGTTTGCTTCTGGTGTATCCCTTGGTATCTCAACACTCAGTTTAAAGTAAGTTAACTGATCCATTCTTTCTGTAGCCATGCCATAAGTTATTCTCTTATCGTCAGCCTACCAAGTTCTCAGCCTGAGAAATAACATTAACTGTGGGCAAATACAGTGGAAAATATTCTCTTTCTCCCCTTCAACATCCTTAAATTTTTGTCAGTACTCACTTTACATCTGCATGTGATATCTCACATATCACATGCATATATAGGAGATAAGCTCCATGTTACAGCTCCAGTCGAGTGGTCATGTGGTCGACAATCACTTAATCCTTCACTAACAGTCTTGCCAAACTGTACTCACATCAGCTCAACTTTTCTCCCTCTATCTGCATTTTTTCGCAGATTTGCCGGCTATGAGACCGGGTCCTGCTTACAACCCGAGGCAGTCAGTTTAACCCTGAAGGTGCTGGTGTCTCCTGTGCCTGTGGTTCTTATAGCTGTGGGACTGTTGATATTGAGAACGTACCCTATCGATGAGGACAGGAGGCAGGGCAACCGGAAACTACTGCAGGAAATGCTGTAAGTGAAAAGTGAAATGCACCTACGTGCACTGAACTCATGACAACACAGAAGTTTACACTTTATTCAGGATAACCAAACTAAAGGCTAGACACCCATTCATTGTTGTGCAGCAGGACCTGTGTATGACCGCAGTAAACAAACCAGTGAGATGCTAAGCTGTGCTCTGTATACCTGAGATAAATTCAAATGAATCCTGTTTTGGTCCGGTGTTGGCATGCATTATCTACCCTGTTTGAACAAGCCAAGTCCTTTGTGTTTGACTCCTGGCTGTTCTCCCATGCTTTAACAGGGACTCTGTAACAGATTCAGATACAGATTCTGAAACTTCAGCACTTGGGAGCAGCGTGTAACGGAGGAGGATGAGCCAACCACCACCACTGCATGTTTGCACAAGCTGTTGAGGGAGATGACCACCAACTATCTGGACTAACAGAGGAGGGACCAAAGACCACTACTGCTGCTTAAAATTCATCAGCATGAAACCGGCTCCCTCCAGTGGATCCCTCAGATTTACGTCGCCCTCTAGTGGCCAGCCAGTGTCATTGTTTGTGCAATTGAAGTATCTCCAGCTGTGTCCCAATTAAACTTCACTGCTAAAACTGAAAAGTACACAGTTTACAAAATGCCAGTGTTTTATTTATTCAGGTAGTGTAGTGCCAAAGTTAGTGACCGTTCACCAATTCTTTCACCTCCCAGTATGCTGAGGTTGTCTTGCATTGTCATGGGATCGGCCCATATCTGAACCTAAATGGGTATCTACCACTGAACTGGACAGGGACATCTTATCACCCTATCATCTAAAAGGAAGATAAAACGTGTTTTTGTTCAACCACTACAGTTTGAGACTCATGGGAGCTGTAGTCATTTTTTATCCTTTACTCAACAAAGAGAATTTTTTCCAAAGATGTATTACTTTATGGCTTACTGAGATGTACCTGTAGCTATCTACCATGTCATTTACCTTGACTAGTTGTTCCTTCTCCACTTCCTTTGTGCGATGCATTGTGGGATTCTAGTATTCAACTCTATTCTTAAACTCCACTGGGAATGCACTACATACTGAAAATCTGGTTTAAATAGACTGGGATTGGGACACAGCTTGTGACTTGTGGTATTGTTTATGAAGTATTCATTCACTGGTTTACAAGATCGGACCTATACTCGTGCAGAGTGTAATGTTTCCTTTGATGTTTACCATGTCTTAGGTCAGCTGTCTGTGACTCTTTCCACTCAGTCGGTGCTCTGAAGGAAATATACAACATAGCCCTTATTTATGAAGGGCATACCAGCACTACTAAGTGGAGTTGTTTGGAGCTGTGCTACAATTTGTACTTTTCATTAGATGTTGTTGTTTCCTATAGATAATTTCATGAAGTCAAAAACAAGTGTACTTGAATCTTCTAAAGGGGAAAAGGCACCTTGCAGTACTGTATGTAGGCTGAATCACTGCCTTACATCTTGTGTATTAGTTGCAATGAGATTTTCTGTTGAATTTGTTACTGAGTTATTTTTCTTTTTGCTACTCAGAAGGGTTTCCTATCACACCTTTTTGTGCTTTAACATTTTAGCCAATCTCCCATGAGGTGTAATAGACATTTCTGAATGTGCTTTTACAACGAAGTAATTTCATTGAGCATGTTCTCACTTCCCAAGGGAAGTAAAATGCTTTATTTAATTATTTATTTAAACAAACTATTGAAGGGATTATAATTCTTCTTATAAAAGCACATGTGTATAATAATTTATTAACAGTGAATGGTTATTGACGAATATGTGGGTGATTTTCAAGTCCTACTGAAAACATTTGAGAACATCAAAATGGTGGAGTGTTTTTCTTTTTCTAAGAAAAGAAAATATCAAATTGCTATAATGTGATAAACTAGCTGCTTTTACAGTATTGTGACACAGCAGCAGCACAATCACTATGCCTTGATTTAACCTCAAATGAACTTATTGGTTAAAATAATTAAAAAAAGATCTTTAAAATGTAATATATTCCTGCATAGTTTTCATTTTAAGGAATTTTGACATTGCACTGAATGAACTGATGGAAAACACATTACAATCTCTATTTGGTGTTTGTATGCTGCTGTATGTATAATATGTAAATACTTTTTTCTAAGTTGGACCTGACTTGATGAGCAGTATATAATTCAGTGAAGATATGAATTCATGTGCTGCACATTTGTAATTTTAAGTCTGTGAATAAAGTTTGTCAAAACAGAGAAACCCTTTGTTATTATTGCAAAATCAAATTGTTTATATGCCAGGTTCATTTCATAGAATCACGTTCAGGTAAGTTGGTACAGCAGTGGTACATAAATAGCAAATCTGGCCCTCCACCAAAGATATTTGGCCATTTAATGAAATCTGATTAAAGAGATTTTAGTTTAATAGTAACCGAAACTTTGACATCATTTTACAGAAATCAACAGTAGATAATGTAAATACAAAGCTCATTTAAATACCAATAGGACCTTGTAACACTGTTTAAAAGATAAATTATCAATTATATTTAGTCTTGTTTTGTGACACAGAATACATTTACTTTAATTCTTAAGTCTTTTTTGGGAAGTGAATATTAACAAACTACACACCCTAAAAGAAATATGTCCTCAGATACAGTCCTAAAAAATACATTTAATTCTTTTAATTGATGATAAAACATTAAAAACATACAGACCTGTTTCTATTGCATCTATAAAACCACATTACCGTTAAAAAATTATGGATTGTATTAATCATTTAGCCTTATTTCCTTCATTCTGACATAAATATGTATCTCTAAGTCATTATATCAAGATAATATGACTTGAATAAAGCACATTATTGAAAAAATCTGTAAAACTGACACTGGTCCCTTTAATGACTGAAATCAACTAAAGCCTGTTGGGAAACAAGCTGCCAATTTATCCTCGACACTAATCACCTCCAGCCGTGGCTGAGCGGTGATTTTACGCGCAGATTGAAAGAGAAAGGTCGAAGCACAACAGTCTGTTGCGATGAAAACAAAGCGGCATCTCTATATTTTGTGGAGTGTTTTATCACTTGGTCTCCTCAGCTGTGCACTGGACACTTATGAATCTACATTTTCGAGAAGGAAAGTTTTCAAACTGGGTACGCCAAAATCCAAACCCATTAAACTGTCAGCAGGCAGAAAATCCTCCCAGAGGTTACCTGCCAGCACGTCTCCATTGTCTCAACTCACTTCCCAAAGGCCCTACCCTCCTCTGGCACCTGTAACACCTCGATCCATGCGCCCAGGGAAGCCGCAGGCAAAGATCCAGTCGGACTTTGCTTACCTCCCAGACGTTTCTGTGACCTGCTCCACGTCCGACTTCGTCGTGCGGGTCAAACCATCTTTCTACGGTCTGGGCGCAGATGCAGAGGAGCTGAAATTAGGCAGCACCTGCAAAAGCAACGGGGTCCTCAGACCGTACGGAGACCTCCTCTTCACCTATCCTCTGACAGCGTGCGAGTCCGTGCGTCAGGTAAGATTTCCCGTGCCATTTGGTTACACACTCTCCCTGTATAGTATTGAAAATCACCTGACACCCTGTTTCTGACCCCTCTTGACAGTCGCCCCGCGGTTATCTGATCTACAAATACATGCTCCATTATGAGCCTTCCCCAAAGCGTTTCCCAAGCAGAGCGCACTGGATCGATGTTGATATTGAATGCCGTTATCAAAGGTTAGACTTGTCTCTTAGATATTTCCAACTATGTGTGAGTGTGTGTGTGTGTGTGTGTGTGTGAGAAAGCCAGCTATTTACAGTCTCCAAACCCTGTCCAGGAACCATCATGTGTACCAACTGACTGTAAAGCCCACCTGGCAAACTGCTGTTGTGCGTAAAAGGCTGAAAGGAAGTCCAAATGACTTTCAGATCCAGTTGATGGACGGTACGTTTGAAGAATTGGAAATTGTAGTCAATAAGATTTCAGTGAAAATATGTTTTAGCATGTTATAAATGTCGATTAAGGGGCTCCATGTGATGTGATATATATTTTAATGAACTATTAGATTCATGGAGCAGACCAGCCAAGTCCAAGGTGTATCCGCTTGGAAAGACTGTTAATTTCCAGGTGTCTGCTCTCCATCTCCCAACTGGTGTAAAACTGTACATCAATGGCTGCTATGCTACACCCTCCAGTGGCTCTACATCATCCCTCAAATACACCATCATTGACAACCTAGGGTGAGTATTATGGACAGTATTATTTAGCTTTGGTGTTCTGATCTACAGTTAACTGAGGTTATTGTCATATTGTTGTCATCCATAGCTGTATGCTGGACAGCAAGAGAGAGCCAGGGGCCTCTCGGTTCATCTCTCGGACAGACAAGACAATGAGATTCTCCTTAAAGGCTTTCCAGTTCACTTCTGACCCCGACACGGAGGTAAGCGTCGAATTGTATAGTTCTCTGGATTCATAGTTTTATCTGTGGCTGAACCCTGTTCTCATTTTTAGGTCAATATTCATTGCAAATTATTTGGCACATCTGAGGACCCGGGTCCTGCTCACAAATCATGCACATACAGAGGGAACAGGTGAGCCTCAACACTATGAATTAAATTCCAGCACCTTTTTTATGCTGTTTTTAAGTGGCTTGAACGTATTTGTGCATTTACCCTGATAGGTGGAAGGCTCTTACCGGTGACGACTCCATATGTGAATGTTGTGATTCACAGTGTGGGACATCTAAAACCCGGAGGGCCATGATGGAAGGTATGTGGTGGTCTTTTAGCCTTATTAGACTAGATTTCAAGAGAATATTTATGTATGCATTCCTACTTAGATTGATTGGATATGTTGACGTTGCTTTAACTTGCACTACAAGTGTCACATCTCTAGCTGACACACTCTAATAAATAAATAAGTCACGTGAATGAAAGTTAACATACATTTTTATACATTAAAAATGCCTGTGTCTCTACCTTTTCCAAGGCTTTGCCAGCAGTCAGCCACTGCTGATCTCTGATGAGCCGTACACAGCAGAGGATGGCTTTCTACCAATCAGTCATGATGAGCTGCACAGTCATGATAACTTATGGGGAACTGAGGATGTCCTTATGGATTATGATGATGATGATGATGATGATGAAGAACAGCAAGGCCACACAGAAGAAGAAGAGGAGGAAGAGGAAGAAGAAGAAGAAGAGGAAGAAGAGGAAGAAGAGGAGGAAGAGGAGGAAGAAGAGGAAGAAGAAGAAGAAGAAGAAGAAGGAAGAAGAAGAAGGAAGAAGAAGAAGAAGAAGAAGAAGGAGGAGAGAAGAAGAAGAAGAAGAAGAAGAGGAGGAGGAGGAGGAGGAGGAGGAGGAGGAGGAGGAAGAAGAAGAGGAAGAAGAGGAGGAAGACAAAAGTGGGATTTTCCTTGGAGTGATGACAGAACCCGATTTAGAGGGGTTAGATATCAGGGATAGGGTCTTATTGGAGGAGGCGAACGAGTCTGAAATGAAAGATTCTAATCAGTTTGAAGAGGATGGGTCGGGGTTTATAGTAAAAGAGGATCTTTCTGAGAGTGAAGAGGAGGAGGGATTTGAAGGAAGAGAAGAGGAGATCTCTGTACAGCAGGCAATCCATTCGAATCAGAAGGAAGGTGAAGTGTTGGTGCGAATGTTAACATCAGAAGTCAGCTTGCAGAGAGAGTTACAGCCACTGGTCTCTGAAGGTGAGGAAGAAAACAGGGAGCAGACAGGTAGAAATGACAAAGATGACAAAATGGTGGAGTGGAAGAATGGTGATGATGATTTAGTCGATGATAGAGAGATGACCTGGTATTTCACATGGAGGTAGTATTAGTTTAATGAATAGTCAGTACTCAGTACTCTGCTTATAGACTGTTGTAACTCTCTACAGAAGGATATTCTGACTCATTTCAATAAAACCATGAAAATGCAGTTGATGGTCCCTCTTTTGTCAGTGAATCTAAAACTACATACTTGTGTGCGTATTATACTGAGCCATCCAGACTTAAAGCTCAAGAAGAGAAGGCTGAAATAAGACTTAATGCAAATGTCGGGGAAAATGCAACCCTGAATATCAGACTGACAGGAAATTTAGAAGAAAATGGGAAAGAATACGACCATTTGATCGGTCCATAAATCTTTATTCTTTCCAGTATGAATGATTTATTATTACATTACAGTCTCTGAAACCAGTTTAAAATATATTAAAGTTCAACACAAATATACCACAGTTTGATCCCTAACTGCGAGGAAAGGCACTGTCTCCATTATCAGTAACTGAAAGCAGCATAAAGATTTGCTACAAAACAATGATTCCAGTATTGCTTTACATGTCTGTTCATTGTTTCTGTGACGTTAATGGTCATGCACATAGATAGTTGTGAATCACAACAAATGACACACAGGGTTTTTGAGAAGAACATATATTTGGATATGATAAAGAGCTATACAAACAAATCTGATTTAAGTGATATTTGGGTTTTAACACAGCATTGCAAAGAAGACAGTCTGTCTGTAGAGACCCTCCTCTGAACATGAAAACAGGAAAAATAACTTAAGATAATATTTTTTTAACAAATATAATTGGTGTGGAAACTCCTTTGGAAAAATATACAGAACTGTGTAGCACAGATCCGTCATTACTGGATATGTTAAATGTACAACATTTTGCTATATTTACAGAGCACCCAAAAGTCCCATTGTTAAGAGTACTGATTAAACTAAAGCTCTGATTCAGCAGGACATAAGTGGTACAATCATTGTTTGACACTAGAGGGCAGTATATTCCCATCTCTAGCAACTGTAAAGCTCAGAAGACCCTCTGGCATAACAAAATATATTGTATTTACTCTTAGTAAAATGCAAAATGAGTACTTGAGAAAATTAAGACCTACACCATTAACATAAATTTTCTAAATGCAATCTTTTAAATATGTATCTCATCTATCCAAATCAAGTTCCTTGTCTCTCACATACAAAGACCAACAGAAGATTCAGATTCAGTGTAATTAATGTCCTTCCCATGTCTCCTTCAGTCTTTACAATCATGTCGATGGCGTTTCTTCTCCTTCAACAGTACCTGCTGTCCCATTCGTATTCTCCGCTGCATCTGAGGTGAGAGAACTTATGTTTATATCACAACAATTGAATAAATTGCAATTGTAATCACTGTGTTTAGGGCTAACAAGCTACGGTGAACATGGTAAGCATTACACCTGCATTCAGGCAATGTCAGAACAATGGAAAGAACAGGAAAATGTCCTGTTAATTCATTAATCCTACATTATTCCAAGATAGTTAACACCACTAAGCCTCTAGTCACATAATTTAAGTATCCCAAATTAGCTACTTAGCAAGTGATACCTGATACAAACCAACCATGTTTTTAAATTAGCTGAATTGATTCTTCTGGTGATAAGTGACCAGTGTGTAGGGATTTAGGTCCATCTCGCGGTGAAGTGGCAGATTGCAATTAACCGTTGGCATCAGTATGTGTGTAGGAAAAAATATGGTTGCCGCAAAACTTGAGAAAACCGTGAAAGGCCCTATCTACAGCCATTGTTTGGTTTGTCCTAAACTACTGTAGAAACATGGTGGTTACACATGGCGGACTTAACAAAAGGTGACCTGCGGCGTCTGTAGATAAAAACAACTGATTCTAAGGGAACGAAAACACAATGGTTCCTATATTCAGGTGATTATACACTGATAAAAACATACCTATGAATATTATATTCCATTTCTGCTAATGGATCCTCCTAAATGTGACACACTTCACCTATAATATTGTAATTTATTTAGATGTAACTGCCTAAATATCACCAGGTTAGCACTAACATTGTGACCATGTTAGCATCACAAGAGTCTCAGTCTTATACTGTTGATTCGAACAAAGGAACCTTATCATCGCATCGTTTCCAGTCTATCTCTGATCCTTATAATGGATCATCTCTCTTACCCTTGATACTCTCTTGCAGTGCTTCCTGTCCTGCAGTACTCTCCGTCCCTTCACTGGTCTCAATCTCTTTTCCCTTCGTTTTGGGTTTCTTTGCAACAGGTGGTGGCACCTTGACTCCCTTCTTCACCGACTCTGCGTCACTCACCACCTTTGTTACAGAGGAAACCTCCAGGTTCTTCTGTGTGGTTGTCTTGGTCTCCGATGCCGGCTTGGTCTCAATCACCACATTCTTGTTGCTTTTGGAGAAGATAAAGCTTGCTGTGCTGGAAGGGGACTTATGGAGGTCTATTGGTGATGTTGGTGAGTGAAGGCTGAGGCGAGATGCAGGGCCGCCTTTTGATCTAGCTGCTGTCCTGAGGCGGATGGCCTCCTGAAGGTTCATGGAAGGAGAGGCGGTCATGGCAGGAGGAGACTTTTTCGTAGGAGACAGTACTGTGGATTCAGACCCAGGTGGAACCACAAGAGACTGGGACTTGGGCAGAGCTGGTTGTGAAATAACTATGGCAGGTGGGGAAGTGGATGTGGGAGAGGTCATGATTAGAGACTTTCTGATGGGCTTCTGGGGAGCCTCACCACTGGCATATGAGATTGGAACCTCATGACTGGGCGGCTGATTCCTCAGTGTGATCTCAGCCTTCGGTTCCTCCCCAGCTGTAGGAGGCTCGGGGCTGCTATTGACGGAACGCAGCTTGACCATCTGCAGAAGTGAGGGGGTGACAATGGGAATGGGTTCGTCCTGTAAAACAGGGGCAGGGGTCAGCTCTGGGGTTTGGTTTTCTGTGCTTGCAGGACTTGGCTGGTATTTAATGCTTGCAAGACCCTGTACAGGTAAAGGTGGAGGTAAAGGAATGTTACCAGGTGGAGAAGGAGCATGTTCTTGAGCCTTTTCTGTTGAAAGAGAGTTTTCAAGTGCTGGTGGAATAGAGACTTCAGATGGTGGTGAATTTGAGACCTCCTTGGTTGCTGAACCATCAGTATTTGGGGGTACAATTGGTGGTTGGTGGAGAGGCTGTATGGGTGGGGGTGGTGGAATACTCTGAGGGGGTGCGAGAATACTGTTAGATGAAACCTGGATAGTTTCAGATTCGGAAGGGACGTTCTCTTGTGGAATATCAATCTCCTGCTCTGACGACTGGGGTTGTGAGGGTAGAGGTGGTGGAGGTGGAATACTTTGTGGCGGAGTGAGTTTGCTAACAGGTGGGGCCTCTTCAGAAGATTGATGGGCATTCTCCTGAGAAGACGGAGGAGAAACCTCTTCAGTGGACAGAGTGGAGACCTCTTGACAAGGTAGAGGGGAGACTTTGATAACCAGTGGAGGGGAGACCTCCTTAACTGGTACTGGGACCTCTTTAACTGGTACTGGGACCAGTGTGGAGGAGACGTCTTTAACAAGTGCTTCTTGACTTGGAGGAGGAGAGGACTCTTTGGGCTTTACATGAGAAACCTCTTTAGGTGGTGGAGGAGAAACTTCTTCAGGTGGTGGAGGAGAAACCTCTTTAGGTGGCAGTGAAGAAAACTCTTTAGGTGGTGGCAGAGGCATTGAAGGAGATACCTTTTTAATTGTAGAAGGGGAGACTGCTTCAAGTGGTGGAGGGGGAGCCGTATATGATGGGGGAGGTGGGATATTCAGGGCTGGTTGTACAATCCCCTTGGATGTACTGGGCTTCTGTGGTTCAGCCTCTGTGGTCACCCTTGCACATTCTGTTTTCACCACTGATAAAACAGATGTAGTTATACAAGAGGAGTCACCACCAGGAATGGACCTCTCTGGTGGCACCTGAACAGGTATAACTAAACCCTCCTCACCAAACATTGGGGGAGGCGGGAGAGAGAAATCAATCTCATCAGGCCCACCAAGGCCCATTGGTGGAGGTGGTGGGGGCCAGGACGACTCAGGGGATACAACGACTTGTACTGAAGACAACTCTGTGGTCTGTTTGGTGGATGGTTGGGGAGGATTGTGCACCAAAGGGTGAGAGGGAGATAGAGGAATGCGTACTAATGAAATGGCAGATAACGTATCCTTGTTAGTCTTCACCTCTGTATCTTGTGTGGATGTGTTTTTAGCTTCTTCTTCTTTCACTGCTGCCAGCCTTTCTTCACGTCTCTCTACCGCCTTCACTAACATCCCATTTAATATATCACATACTTTTACTTTCTCATCTTTTTCTGACACTTTTCTATTTCCCTTGACATCAACATTCTGCTCTACCAGTCTGTCATTGTTCTCTTCGTGAATCTCTGCATTCAAAATCTCACTTTCTTGAACTTTCTTTGTCTCTAGAACATGTACGGATCCATTAACAGACTCCACTATTACAGTCGGATTCTTATGTTTTCTTTCTACCACCAAGCTCGTCACAGAGCCCTCTGTAGATGCAGAAGGAGACTTCCTCTGTTGTCTCCTGTCCTTTGGGTTCTTCTTTATGATGGCATAAACGTTATCAGGAGCCGGGGGTCCCAGTAGCAACTCAAAGGTACGCTTGCTGTGAGCCCATACCTCCGGAGGAGGTGGTGGAGGTGCATGGACTTTAGGTGGTGGAGGGATGTTAAAGAGTTCTCTCAAGGTCCTTACTGAAGGGCTGATATCGACTGGGGTGTCAGCTTTTAAATCCTTTGGAGCATCTGGCTGTGTTGGAGGGGGTGGAGTTGAAGCAGCAGGAGTGGGCCCAGGGAAAAACCTTTGGAGCTTAGCTAAAAGGCCTCTTTTGTTTCTTGGAGATGAGCTGTGGGGCTGTTTAGAAAGCTGCGCAGACCTGCCATCTTGGCTGGAGTAGCCACTGGATGGGGAGACTATTTTGCTTGGCTTATTCTCCTGCAGTGGTCCCTGCTTCTCTTTTGAAGCATCTCTGGAAGCAGTTTCCTCAACTTTTGCAGCTTTCTCTCCTTTTCGTGCCTGCAGCTGGGATCTGAAGGGACTTACTGACACAGAACCTATAGACTCATCCAGAGAACTTGTGTCAGCGTTGTATCCAGGGCTGTCTATGATTCTGGAGGGCGTAGGACAAGATCCAGAATTGTTTTTTTCATTTTCCTCACCTGAGGCTGAGATGCTATGAAGAGATGATTCCCCTGAAATGATCCTTACCTCCGCCAGATCACGTGACCGGCGCTTCATCTTATTGTGAAGGGAGTAGGAGCGACTTGGAGGAGGAGGAGCCCTCTTTGGCTTCATGACAGAGAGGCTACGCACAAATGGGCCCTCTTTCTTAACCTCGCCTCCCTTAACAACGAGCTTGCCATTGGAGGTGCATTTCGAAGCCTTGCTGATGGAGGAGTGAACACTGTTTTTGTCTTCTTTTGAAGAGGCTCTGTCCTGTGACCTCTGTCTGGGGGTGCTGCTGCTGGAGATGGTTGAGGAGTCCGATACCAAGGTCTCTGAGGACTCAGAGTTGCTCCAACAAGAGCTGTCTGACAGGTTGGGAGGGTTGTGGCGAGAGGCAGAGGAGATGGTGGAGGCTTTGGAGGAAGTGGTTCTGGAGGAAGAGGCTCTAGAGGAAGCACGGGAGGGGGCTGGGCTTGACAGCAACAGGCTGCTCTTGCTGACAGTGCGTACACTGTTGCGACTTCGTCCACGGCTGATTTCCACAACGTCAATGGAGGGTGGCAACACGGCATTGGGAATGATTTTGGACATGTAGGGGGCCTGGGGTGACATGGACATGACAGGGCTGGGTGGCTCCTGCTGGAGGCTGTTGGCAGTGGTCATCCAGGGGACAGCCAAGGACCGAGGCCTCTGCTCACCTGAGAAGCCGGGGCCCATGCGGTGCAGCAGGGCCAGATCATCCCTATGACCAGCATGGGTGGCACCGAGCTTCTCCAGTTGGTCTTTGTTGAGGGGCTGGATCATGTTTTGAAAGTTGGCACTGGCTCCTTTTTGTGACTGCTCTGGTCCATCAGCGCAGCTGTCGTCAGTTTCACCATTATAAAGCTGTTCCTCATCTAACCTCTGAGTCACTGAACAACCCACTCTGTCCAGGCCTGATAGAAGACAGGATGACCAATTAGCACTTCATATTAATAATTAAGGAAATGGACATGCAAAAAAAACATCCATTTATTTTCTATATATATTATATTTCTGAATGAAGCTCATTCAATTTAAAGAATAATTAATAGATGGATGTTTTTTTTTTGTAAATAATAATACGTTTAAATAAAGAGCTGCATACCCAGTTCTCTCTGAACATGCTTTGGGATACCCACAACAGTCTTCCTGTGTCTTTTCCTTGTCTTGGCCTTTTCTGACTTTTTCCCAGAGTTCAAGGGCCTGAATGTAGATCCTGGACAGACAAAGGTATGAGAGAAATGCAAAAAACATGAGCCTTTGATTTATTTAAACTAAATATAATCTATACATCTCATCATTAAATGTTTAATCTGACATTTTATGTGTTTGCATCACTATATGTTGTGTAATGACCAAGATGGGATATAAATATGCTTGTGTTGAAGTTACCTTGCCTGGTGAGTCCAGAGCGGGAAGATCTGGTGGACACAGACGATTGTACAGAGACAACAGAAGTTGTGTCAGCAATGGTACTGTCTGTCATAAACCCTCCACCTTCCCCGTCTGTGTTGACTGTCATATTCGACTGGAAAAGAGAGAAACAATCTTTTTTAGAAGAAAATCACTTGTGAAAGAAGTGTGCATGTGCAGTAAGTGTAAGAAAAACAATAATTCTGGGTGTGATGCGTCACTTACAATTGTGCTTTCATTATCCTGGTACTCCACACCATTATTGGTTTCTGCAAAGAGAGTAACATTTAACTCTGTAGCTTTATAATGGCGATTAAGATTCTTAGCTGTGTTTATATTCTCTGGTGCACACCCTCTTGAGTAATATATAGACAGTTATCAACATGTTGGCATGGGACACCCTTTAATTTAATGACACAAGATGTATAACTAGAGTGTTTTGTACCTTCTTGCTGCATCATTTTCAATCCCTCCAGGGCCTCAGTGTGAAGGTTCTCCAGGTACTTGGGCCTGCTGGCCTCAATGAACACATTCTCCTGGAACAAAGGGGGTGCCGGGGTTTCGTCATCGTCATCTCGCTTTGGGACAGCTGGAAGTAGAGAGAAGGGAGAGGGGATCAGCTTAGATCAACTCAAAGCTCTGTGTTACTGTAACAGTAAATAAAGGGGCCATATGGATAGGATGAGAGCATTCAGGTGTCTGCCAGGGACATTTAAGCACAGGAACAGTAAATATGTTTGAGGGTTAATACCTGAGCGTGAGTGTGAGTTAAAAAGGCTGAACTCCAGTTCCACTCAGGCAGGTTTGAACTCCAATGACTGACAACGACTTAACTGGGGATAATCATATAAAAAACTCTACCGTCAGAAACATATGCTTTGTATTTTCTTTAAGTATCACTTAATTTAAAGACAGTGAGAAGGACACTAATTAAATTGCTGTCACATCTTGTTACATGCTTCCTACATCAGTTCAATCTTTCATCAGCTAATTATAAAATACCTGAAATACTTTGTCATGAACCATGGGCACCATCCAAGAAAACATGTCAACTTGCTTTGAGATATAAATTGCATTCAGTCATATGTAAACTCCAATAACCTATTCTAATGACTTACACAACTTATTTATACAACACCAAGCTGAGTTACTGGTTTGCATGTTTGCATGATTTTACTTAGAAAGTGCAAAACTGTGCAAATACTCAGCATTTTTGCATTTTAAAAATGCATCTCATATAAAAAGAACGAGAAAACTTGCATAAGACAAAAACAAGTGTTACAGTAGCTCTACATTTGCTGACCAACTGGCATGTGATTCAACTCTGTCATGCTTGGGGACAGTCTGGCATCACTGGGCTAACAACCTGCTTAGACACTTTTATGTAATAGAGACAGCTGCTCCACATTTAGCCACCTACTTTACTCCACTGTAGCTATAAGACCATGCTGGAATTAGCCTTGACAGTCATGTGCTCAGTGATCGCTACTAATTATTACCACTGTCTCTTCTGTAACAGCATTACGGGTGCTCTGGTGGCAGAAAATAATAAGCAACTATCTATTAAAATGCAGAATTCTTCTTCTTACTTTATTTTCCTGCAATTTAGAGCAAATATTAGTTGCTAAGTGAGACTATAAATCACAGCACATTATATATCAGGAGAGCACACATTACAAACTGACTGTGGTTTTTATGGTCTACAGCGACAGTGAATGACTACGCTTTAATTACTTTACTGCCTTTCTTAGGTGAGCCAGATAATCCAGCCTGTACTGGCCATACGTGAATAGCAGTTTTAACAAGGAACAATTGGTTTGACTCATAACCCAATCAGGTCTGTTGTCTTATAATTTCAAACAACTGGCATGTGCTGCTTTCACTCACCTTTCCTCTTGAAGACTGTTGGAAAGCAGTAGAAATTCATACTAGACTTATGAGTCAAAAGCACTACCATGGTGTCTCCTAAATCTTGGAAAGTAATCGAAAAGTAAACCAAAACTATGCCAAAGTTGAAGAAAGAGGAGGAGGAATTAGAACTAAAGGTGTAGTCCGCAGTCTGACAGCTCAAACAACATCCTGGAAAGATCAAGACAGGATAAAAATCTTGTTTTTGATGAAGCTGTTGTTGTCAGTTCAGGTCCATGTGGAGCGGAGAAGGTCTCTACAGCCAATAGACAATCAGAGCTCAGACATTAATCCTCAGCAGCCTAATTCCTGCCATCCCTCTCTACTCTATCTCCCCCACTCGCTGCTCAACAAGATACCCAGCATCCCCGTTGCTCCCCATCTGCAGGCACACTCAACCCGGATTGGTCAGTCAGGGTAAGGATCAAACTGAGATCATACATGTAATCATTGAAGGGAAGAGAAAGCTGTTGTCAGGGATTTGAGGTACGAGGGCGTCACGGGTGGCTCCCTGTTACTTGAGCCACAGCTTTTAATAAATAACACTACGCTGCTTTGTTAGATTTTTTCACTATAGAACTCTAGTAATCGAGCAAATCTATTAATTCCTCAGACGTCATTAAGAGACCTATAACTTTATTGTTTTGCCACAAGGGGGAGTAAGTGAATTAAAAGAATCTATTCCTGAAACAAGATTAAAAACATGTTTAAAAAAAGAGGCCTGCAGCTCCACAGCACATGGTCACACATGTGAAAAATGTTCCCTATTGTTTCCAGGAGAATTACATTAGATCCGTTTCTATGGAGCAAGAATACAGAGGATGGCATAAGATCCTAAATTTCACATTTAATCGAGAGCTACTATCTAGAGATTAACTTTCTGATCTGGGGAGACATCGTGCACTTTTTTAAAAACTTGTTTTCAAGTGAGACTTCTGTTGTTGAGACTATTTCTTCATCTTTTTTTCTTTTTGTTTTCTATTTAGGACAACTCAAACTCATTTGCAGCTACGGGGTTTGTTCACTTCCTGGTGTGCTGAGCAGACATGACATGGAATGTATGCCATCTGAACAAATGGAAAACATTCCCATGGTGGTGATCCTAATGAGTGACTCAAGACAAAAGCAGTTTACAAAGAAAAGAAAAGAAATGAATCGCATGTGTTACCAGTACGTAGTAACAAGTAGAAATCATTATTTCAACAGAAACCACTGCTGAGGTGAAAGCTTCTACCTATAGATTTAAACAGTAAGTTGATATGTATGTGTAAGGTAAAGTCAGTCTATGACAACACTTATCTGGTTACCATGACAGTACACACTCGACTGGAGAGGCCTGGAGTGATGGGTGGGGCACGACTGCGCGTTAATGAGGGGCTCACATTATCACTGGTTCTGTGATCCCATTGTAATTGTGTCCATATTAATCACTGACATATTAAAGACACCATCTGTCACTGGTTGATTGCTCGGACGCTGGCAGTATTAACGGGCTGGTGGTGATTATGTATGAACTCACAAACTCATGTTTACATCTCGGATTTGGATAAATATACTAAATCCAATGGATGTAATACTGTGTGACCAGTTTATTCAAGTTGCCGACTTCAGCCTCTAGTGAGGAAAACAATGTGTTAAAAAAAAAAAATCAGCTCAAGGGAGTAATTATGATTACATTTTGCAACATGTAAATAATGGTGGATTTAAAGTAAAACATTTTAAATGAGCAAACATCTGTTGGCGAGTTTGTTTTGGTAAAATATGGGTTATCTGGCAGTAAACAGAGACAGAAGGGTTCAGGAGATATGTTGCATCATCAACAACTGTAAACAAATTACAAATACTGTCACAGACTGCAGTGGATATGACATGCAGCCAGGCAATACTATACCATTTTAGATTAATAGCACTGTGAAACAATTTAGGTTCAGAAAGAAATTACTTGAAAGTTAAAAGAAATTTAACATTGAAACCAAATTTGTGTTTTTCATTTGAGAATAATCATTTCATTTTCTAGTAAGGCTTCAAAATCAGAGCATAGAAACTGGCTTTATATTTCACATTTAACATTTATCTATGACCAGTAGCAGCCTGATATACCAAGGCACACCTGATACCAGGACCATAGTCAGAGTCCAAGTCTCTAAAATGTTAGATTTTTGTCCCCTTTCTTTCATATTTTTGATTATATCCTGTAAATCCTATTTATATGAAGGTATAAATGTTCTTTTTAAGCCCTCATCCTTGAAAAGCCCAATTTAACTGCATTCAGTCCAGAAGTACTAGTATCATCCTGTAAAATACCAACTTGGGTTACTTTATTTTGAATTGTTAAATATAAACCTCCTTCCAGGTTGCTAAAATCCTGAAACCCTCACTGTCCTCAAAGTTTCTCTTTATAAACCTATAAACCTAAAATATAATTGGTTGACCGAGAGAACAGATATAAGCTCTGAAAGGGACAGATTGATCATTTTTTTGGGAAGTTGTTGTTAATACATGCAGTGCAGAATGCAAGGAACGAGGGAGCTACTCAGCTTCGAGCGTATACAGTTAAAATTGTGAATATTGTGATTTATTATTGTAAAGAGCACCACACACATACACATTGACACAGACAACCTGATCCTGGTCCTTTTTAGAACCGCTCCATGGGAATTAAACAGATGCACATACCCCACACACACACACCTTACATCCCTGCCCTAACTTGCCCCTGTCTCTTGTTTTGCACCGCCGGGCAGACAGCCATGCAGAGGCATTCTCTCCAGCTCTGAGGGTGCTGTCTGCCAGGTGCTTAAGCCTCTCTAATCAGCGCAAACTCAACTGACACACTGTGATGACAGTGGGAAAGGGCTGGTGGCTCACTGTTTCTCTAAAATCAAGAATGTACAGTCTTGATACCCTGGACACACACGTTAATGTGTCCTGGTCGAAGCTTGTGTGCTCCACTGACTATTTTCATGCTCTTGGTTACCAATGAATAAAATATAAACATCTCTCCGTCAAAGCTGATAGGAAGAAAGGAAAGAAGAAGCATGGTGTGACAATGAAGACAATCCAGGTAATGGATACATCTGCATTATCTGGCACGCAGGGTTACACTCTATTTCACTGTCAGACATCACAACCTGTATGCCAGCAAACCAGCATGTATCAGATACCTGCAAAAATATATCCCAGACGCACACAAACGCACACTATTACTATTATTTTGCAGGTGGCCAGTTTTTGCACCATAGTTAATTAGTCATAAGTCATCAGTTTACATCCTGCACCTCCCCACAGCCTTCATCTGTCAGTTTGTAGTTTAAACGTCAGGAGTGAGCAAACTCATGTTCTCAAACTCAGTGACATAGCGATGAGGTATTTCTAAGGGTTAGCCATAAGCAACAAATCAAAATCCCATTAAAAAATATGCAGGAGAATTTAAACTATTCAGGCCTGCTAGAGCCTGTTTAATGTAAACACGACTTTGCTACAGGCTCCTATTATATGTGATTACAGACAATAAAACAGTGTAATGGTCTGGGGGTACCTACGGTATAATTCTTAAAAAGTTGGTAGGTAAGTAAGTGCTAGTTAAAGAGAAACACGTTTTTTTTTTTGTTACTAGGTACTTAGTATAAAATGAAAACCAAACTGCTGTGAATGTGAATTCAGGAAATGTTCTCCGGGGGT